TGCCCACGTTGTTTGGCCTGGAATCATTATCATTATTTGTCAATTCATGTTATACTAGCATGATTACTGTGAGGTTGGCGTTTCTGAATTCTTGATCATATGCTCCCGCGTGATGGAACAATAAATTCAAAAAATAGGGGGGAGGGGGGGGGGATCAAAACTCTGAGGAAAAATTGGCATCATAGATGATCATGTTTTCTAGGTGTGTACAAAACTGGGCATTGATTTGACATCAAGCGAGCTTTGCACGGAAGAAAAACAAGATCAAAGCTTTGAAAAAGGATAAAGAAAATCAGATTTCGGAGTGATGCTTTTTCAGAACTCCCCTCATGCCAAATCGACATGAAAGCAAGTATGCACCTAAAAATGCGAGAATTTTTTATGCCAAAAAGGTTTTTTTTTTAGAATTACTGTTCATTCGGGAACACATGAGCTTGGGATCAGCCATCAGTTACTGGATTAGTGCCCTTTGCTGCACTTATGGATATGAAATTATAATTCTATAAATCATATATTATAATGTCTCATAATTACTCTGAATTATAATATCTCAGAATTACACTGCATATAAAAAACATAGATTGGAATGCTCAGAACCAGTGAGCATAGGTCGATTCAAGAAATGCCCATGATTTTAATTACTTATGTAACTACTCCCACAAGTTGGATTAGTATCTTCTTGATCTCTTCCTTGTTGATCTGCGGATTCTCGATCTTGCATACTTCTTTCTTCTTCAATTCTAATCGCATCTAGTCTCATCTCTAGTCTCTATTCTAGCAACGAGTGCACGAGCATCTATCAAATTTCGTTCTATCAATAGATCGATGTGTTCTTCTTCCAACACCAAAACTTGCATCCATCCTACACAAATAATTTGAGTGTAAGCAAAGAACTATCTAAAATGAGCGAATCCGGGAGCAGAACCAAGCAAAACACATACCCTATTGTTTTTGCACTTAACGAACACTCATCCGGGATGTTCCGGCGTTGTAGACATGCAACGCACGATCTTCCGCAGGCAGTCATCGCACTTTATGAGCAACGGTGCGCTGACGAGTCATTGGGCCAGCATCGAGCCCGGACATGTCTTTGCCGGCGAACCGCCGATGGGATATATCCTAGCAGTTAGAGGCGGAGTCAATACCTACATGCGGCCTGGGGGCGTTGTTGGGGCTGTGCGGCCCGGTACACGGCCAATCCATGGCAAGGCGCAGCCTTCGGCGGTCAGGGAAGGACAAGGGCACGCGTCGCGCCCGTCCACTTTGACTCAAACACGGCCTAAATTTGGGTGGGGAATGAGTCAAAAGCGGATCAAAAACGGACATTTTTTCGTCTGCTCCCGCGCGCTTGGACTGCATTTTCTGTTCGTTTACCTCCAGACGGACGTGACCGGATCATTTGGGGTCATGCGTTGGAGTTATCCTAGACCGACAATTGGTATCATCCACTCGGCATCTCGAGCAGCGGAGGCTAGCTGCGGTCTGCCTCATCCGCCTCCAAGACCCAACACATTGAGCTGACGTGACTCCAGTTTGCTTTTGCAGGGAGGCCGTGCCTTGTTTCCCCTGCCTTTCCAGGTTTAATTTCTGGCCAACGATCACTAATTTTTTTTTCTATATATATAAACCGGCATTGTCCATGGCAGCCCAACGCAAAACGTGGCCCAACACAAAAGCGATTTGGCCGGCCCGGCTGCGTACCAAAAATCAATCTTAGGTCGGTCTCCTCAGCTCACCATATATATACACGTAATCGAGCGCAATCAGACTCTAAACCTCGACCTTCAATTCTCGTGCCGCGTCGAACCACCGATGGCTTCCGCCCCGCCCCTCGGCCCTCCTATCGACATCGATCGCAAGCCCCCGTACTAAAATATATCAAATCTCCACGCATCCGGCCGGCAGGATGAATCACGCGCCGCCGGGCTTCCGCTTCACGCCGACGCGTGAAGAGCTCATCCGCTACTACCTCGACCCCTGGGTGGCCGACCCGGGAAAGACGCCGGTCGCCGAGAGCCAGGGCATCATATGCGTCGCCGACATCTACGGCGAGGACCCGGCCGCCCTCACCTCGCGGCACCGGCGCTTCGGCCACGACGACGGCAACTGGTACTTCCTCTGCATCTCGCGGTGGAAGGGTAACCGCGCAGGCGGCCGGACCAGCCGCACCGTCCGGGGCGGCGGCACGTGGCACGGGTACGGCAAGCGGGTCGCCGTCCCTGAGGCCGGGTACCGGCAGGCCTTCGAGTACCTCGACGCACGAGGACGCAAGACCGCGTGGCTCATGGAGGAGTTCGGGACCGTGCTGCCGGCGGCCACCTGTGCCGACGGCGTCAGGGTGCTCTGCAGGGTGCACCAGACGACGAGGACGGTGGCGGATGACGACGTGGAGGAGCGCGGGGAGTCCAGCAAGGCCGCCCGGTCTTCTAAGAGGCGGCGCCGCATCGCCGCAGATGCAAAGGATGAGCAGAAGCCATTGGAGATGCTTGCCATGGAGGACAAGTCGGAGCCATTGGAGAACGTCTTGGCCAAGGACGAAGCAGACTCATGGGAGATCCTTGCCATGAAGGACAAGGCAGAGCCATGGGAGATGATTACCATGGACGAGCCATCTCCACTGCAAATGCTTACCAACAACTTGACATGTCCACAGGAAATGCTAACCAACAACTTGACATTGCCACAGGAGATACTTACCAACAACCTGCCATGGCCACTGGAGATGCTAACCAGCAGCCTTCCATGGCCACTGGAGATGCTCACCAACAACTTGACATTGCCATTGGAGATGCTTAGCAAGAACTTGACATTGCCATTGGAGATGCTTACTAACAACTTGGCATTGCCATTGGAGACCCTTACCAAGAACTTGCCAGAGCCAGCCGAGACCGTTACCAAGAACTTGCCATCTCCATTGGAGATCCTTGGCAAGAACTTGCCAAAGTTGGACATCCTTACCAAAGAGGAACCCACCACGACGACGACAACCTTCGATCAAGACTCCGGCGCGGCGAACAAAGAAGCCACCCCTAACGCGGAGATGGAGATGCCGGCCGATGCAGAGTGGCACTCACACTACCCGGAACTGTTCGAGCAGAAAGAGCCTCCGCCCATGGAAGACGTCATGAAGCCTCTGCCGTCGCCGACGGTCCAAGAATTCGAGCAGGGAGCCCCTCCGGCGGCGGTTGTCGAAGAATTCGGCGGGGTTGCTTGGGGTTGGGGAGGACATGGCCGGCGCTGCTTGGTGAGGCCTATGTCGTTAGCTTGGATACTACCTGGTTTTTGACATGGTTATTTGTTCTAGCAGTTACTTTCTCTTTACTAGCTAGTTTCTTGGAAGGAAAATCATTGTGTGCCAAGCTCTGCTTTTACTGTGTTTGTCTGAGATGTAGCCATTAATCCCTGCTGTATATATATTGTCAATTGTACAACGTCATCCAAAACTCTGGAATTTATTGCTCCCACAGCAATATCATGACATTACTCAACATTACAATCCAGCAGCACGCCGCAATGCGCCATCAGGTTAACAAAAAGATCAATCTAACAATGAGAAAAAGAATACAAGGTGGTAAAAAGATGTACAACAATCTGTCAGGTCACTCTAATCCTCGGCATTCACTATAATGTACAATGATTTACAGTAACCACAAAAGTAGCATTTGAACCAAACTTGCAGAACTCAAAAGTGCCCCTTCACTCTATGATCGCTACAACTCTGTTCAGGAGGTTCAGGCCGAACGCCGTGTCTTCGGAGTTCACCTTGACGGTGAGATCCAGTGGTTCCGAGGTATGCCCGTCTGCCACGATAGTGATCAGGCAGGGATACGAAGTGCTCAGGATCTCGCTGCTGAATCGCCAGCACAAGCCGGAGGCGTCGTCGATGCTGAAGGTCACCGGCATATCCATTGACACTAGGTGAACATTGGCGTTGCTGAGTACTTTCGATGCGAGAGTTTGGGCTACTATAAGGTTATTGTCGGTGTTGTGGTCTGTACTCTCTTCGGTTTGCTTGTGCTTTTGAAGATGATCTTTGAAGGTGCACCTGTTGCAATTCCTCTAACAGATTTAGTTCCAACATGTAGTCAACAGATCATCACAATATGAGTTTGTGATGTTGTAGGCTCAGGTTATGCAATAAAATTATCATCGGGGCGAACAATCAGATAATTTATGATAACCTTAATTTGGATTTGCATTCATACACATGATTTGCATTAATACACATGATGTTTCTTGCTGGCAGAATGTAAGTCTCGACTTATTTTTGTTGAAGTGGCTGAATTAATATAAAACTGAGAACGTATTCCTACTTGCTTACTCCTTTTTCTATGCACTATCAGTTGAAAACATCACACAGACATTCTTTTTTATATAATAGACATTCTTTTCTACTCCCTCCGTCCGGAAATACTTGTCATCAAAATGAATGAAAATGGATGTATCTAGAACTAAAATACATCTAGATACATCTATTTCAATGACAAGTATTTCCGGACGGATGGAGTAGTAGTACATGACGTATTAGAAATAACATCATGACGAAAAATACTCCTCTTTGCGTGTTCCATTAAAACTGGGCAGCCACATGGTAATTTGTTCAAGGGGAAGAAAGAGCGACCTCCTTTTCTCAACATTCTTCTGTAGTTAATGAAAGCCACATGGTAATTTGTTCAAGGGGAAGAAAGAGCGACCTCCTTTTCTCAACACTCTTCTATAGTTAATGAAATGTGCAAACTGAAGCATTTTCGTCAGTCACAACTGTTTCCGCCTGGGGAGGCAGATCAGATTGTAACAGTAAACACGGCATAATTTGGCTTATGTGTCAGATCAGTTCCTAATTTGATGCGACTGCATGAAACTAAGTAACTAGTAAAGATAGGTTAAGAGTCGGGTTACCTTCTAGCGTACTCAAACATTCCCCTCAGCTGGTTTTCCTTGCATAGAAAAGCATTTAGGTCCATGGGTAGTGGTCGTACAAAATAAGCAATGTCCGGGTGAAGTTTGGCCGGATGCCTTTTCCCATTGCAAAGGACAGACAACTTCAAGGGCAATAGATGGTGATGAAAGTGAACCTGAAGAAGCATCTTAGCTGTCTGTTCAGGAGCCAGTGATTGTATCTCTTCAACAGGGACAAGAGTTGGCATGCTGCAGGTAAAGACGGTTCATGAGCTGAGAAATAAGTTGACGACGAAGAAACAATCACAATACAGACAATATAATGATGTATACCTTGCAGATCCTTCTGATGTTTGGTCCATGCCACCCTTGCTACCAGAAGCCTCTTCAGATTTAATGGTTATATCTGCTAATTGTTCTGTTGTAACATTCTCGACAAACAAGTCTACACATACTAGCAAGCGTGATTTGGGTGAAACCTCAGACGAGAAGGCATATAGAACACTCAAGCCATCACTATCCGATGGATCTAACAACCTATGCAATTTAGGCTTTCTCTCAAAGCTGCGAGTGGTAAAAGAAACCCTTGCACATGATGTCTGTACCGAATCCTGAACAAGTGGTGCAGCAGGAGCCTCATCAAGCCATGACTCCAAGGCTGACTTGGACATTAATTCTGTCAAATCAGTAGAGATGAGAGATGCCAAATTTTCATCGACAGCTCGACCTGCATAGGCTTGATCTACATTACCATCATACATATGAATCAGCGGAGCTTCCTGATTCTCCTCTTGACGATGAAGGTTATGGCCATCATCATTCGAATCACTACCAGCTTCACTTTCTGAATCATACACAGAGCCACTCTCACCCCTTGAAGATCCAGATTCAGCGTCAGAATTAGTACCTTCGGAGGAATCAGCTACACCTCTGGTTGGTTCTACGGTCTTATGAATTAAGATCATACTTTGAGGCTTCGGAAGTGGTGCATAGCCAGGCGCTGCATGAAGAACAACTTGTGACAGGGAACCCGGAAGATAAATCCGGTAGTTGCTGTCTGAATTAGATGCAGGAGGTATCTTCCCACCAAAGATATGATCAGCTAGCTCTTTAATAACATCTACATTCTGTGATCGACATGAGGGGTCATTTTCAGTAGCACAGCATGGTAGAAGTCCTGACAAGAAACGTGCACGATCACGGACATCATAATTCATGTCACATGCAGCCAACTGAATGACATATGCCACTATCCTTTTGAATTCTTCTAGCTGTTCTTCTGCAGAATGTATGATAACCTGAGAAAATAAACCTATTAGCAATCTCCATTTAAGTGTAAGAAAACTAAAGTTAGGACTTACGATATATACCTTTGCAGAAGCATTTAGGATCTGAAGCTTTGTCTCGAGCACTTCGGCGGCGAAGGACCATGCCAGATACTTAAGAACAACTGGAGCTATCTTTGGGATTAGATTTCCAATAGAGCTATACTCACCAAATATCCAAATAATCAAGGACCGTGCTGCAGGCTCCTTAATTGTATCCAGACAACGAACCAACCGGATAATCACCTTAGGAGAACAAAATTAATGAATACATCAAATTAAAAAAATGTAAATCATGAAAACTGCATTCAAACGGTAGCACATGGCATCCTGATATCATATATCCATATTTGTTCTTGAATATACTTCCCGTGAATGATACCACAGATTGTTCAGGAGAGAAAAGGATAAAAGAAATTTAAATAGTCCATCACCCTTCACTATGGAAAATATCACCAACAGAGCTGGAGAAGGAGTAGGGGATGGTTTAAGGGGCCTGGTCAGCTATTCTACATTCCACACACCAATGCAACTGCTTTATCAAATGATTATCATAATGTCAAGTGAATGCATTACCCATATAATATGAAAAGTATATAACAAATCTGTGGCGCTACAGGATTTGAGCCCTATATAAACTAATTTGTTGTACCTTTTCATGAGATGCTGCATCTATTTTCGCTACTTCTTTGATTGACAAGATGGCTTGAACTAAAACAGCATCTTCTTCATTCAAGTGAACTGAGTTAGTGATAGACAATTCTGTAACAAGGTGAAAACCAAACATTATTATTCAAGAAGGATGATCCATCACAACATATGCAGAGAGAACAGTTATTACCGTACAATACAAGTGCCAAAAGTCCCTCAAGACAACTGGCGGTGATGGAGGGGAGTTTCAGGGCACACAATGCAATTGCAGCAACTGTATCTGCAACGAATCTCCTATTCGGATCTTTAATATAATCCTGGCAACAATTACAAAGTACATAAGCCGAATGTCAGGGAGCTATAACTAGAAATCCTTGATCACACAGGTAGCGGACATCAATTTTTCATGCTGCTAAGCTTGACTATAAGACTAATTTCCATGAGTAGAACGCTTAGATCCAAAAAAACTGTAATTACACTTAGATCCAAGAAGAAGGTTTTAAAGGTGTATTTAGCATGCATGAACCATCATCAGTATGACACAGGAAATGCTAGCTTGGTTTTTGAAATTATTTTGCAAGAGCAAGTGATGATTTTGTTACCTTAAGAGGAAGTTCTATCAAAGACTTTCATGTGAGAAGCAAATATATGATTGCAAGTCATTGTGATAGCTCAACTTATATGGGAATATGTTGTACATATAAACAAATACCTGAAATTCTTCAAGAATGGCTGGGATAGATGACTCTGTGGCGATGGTGGTGAGTATTTCAAGCTTCAAAGCCCTAGTCTGGTACGGGTCTGAAGCACATATGAAGAAATCTTCATAATACGAAGCAAACAACAATGGGGCAGTCTTGGCAAAAACTAGTATGTTGCCAAGCATCTGCAAGAACAAAAAAAGGAGGTCAGCTCAATAAGAAACCAGCGTCAGAAAAACATACATCTGCTGGAAAATTATTAGATTCTTATGTCTGCAAGGAATGCCTTAACATATGATTCCAAGATGTAATAAAACGAACTCAGTGCTCAGTTTTTAGCTTCATCTACACAAAGTTATGAGTGCAAATGTGTGTGTGTGTGTGTGTTTTATACGAGTTCAAGCAATCACGGATACATAACTCAAAGCATAACAGTTGACCACTCTACAGTGGCACATGAGTAAAAAAAAGGGCAGCCCCAGTGCATGTAGCTCCCGCTTGCGCAGGGTCTGGGGAAGGGTCCGACCACTTTGGGTCTATTGTACGCAGCCTTTCCCTACATTTCTGCAAGAGGCTGTTTCCAGGACTTGAACCCGTGACCTCATGGTCACAGTGGCACATGAGTATTAGGAAAATTTTATTCCGCTACACTATGATATATGATATTTTTTATTTTGACACAATTTAATTACATGATAACAGAAATGATT